GGACAGCTACTATTTGCTGTTGTGCTACCCGCCCCAGGGCAGTCGCTGCCTATGATGCTAGAGCTAAGGCGCGGCTCGAACGTGCGCTGCAAGCATCGTCTGTATGGCGCCTCGCCGCTCTGAGCCCCTGCACATGAGATGGGGTGTGGATGGGCCATGTCAGATCGTGACGGTTGTCGCTTTTAGTACTTCGTTCATTCTCCTACTGACGTGCGGGCGCGTCTCTGATCGATATGAAGTTTGACGAATCAGCTCCACAAGGCTTGTAGACCACACTACCGCGGGAGAAATGGTCACGGTGGCCACACTTTCCATTCAGCTCTCTCGCGATGCTCCGCGTTCCTGTAAGCGACGTTCGCGACGGCGGCGGCACCGAAACCCCACGCGGCCTGGCCAAAACTTATGCTACCCATGGCCGCAGGGTTTTCTTTTTCTTTTTCCTCCCGGTGGGGCCCAAAAATTGCCCATCTCGCCGCTGTGTTTTGTTATCCCAGTTGAGATGGGCGGGTTTGAGGTTACTTCGCGTCGCCGTCTTGTCGTCTGAAACGGAACGAAGAGTCTCATCCCATATTCTTCTCCGGGGCAGCATTCTCCCCTCAGGTTCCTTTTGCACACCAATCCATAGGCGAGTGAATGAAGAAGCTTGCTTTCCATCGTGTATGTGCCAACGTTCAAGCCAAGCGATAGCCGTTTTTTTTTTTTTTTTTTTTGGGGGGGGGGCAGACCAGATCTGCCGCTCTCTTGATGACCGAAGCATGCGTCAGCCGTAACGGAGTTGAAAAAACTGCTTTAACAGGCGACGGTGCGGCGCCCATGGAGAGCCCGGCCACTGTGCGTATGTAAGTTCGGTCTTTAGTGCCATTTGTGACGCTGGAGTCCAAAGAGCTCCACCTCATCTGCCGCTCCTCAGCCTCGGAGGGAGAGGAAAGGGGGGGCGTGCAATGTTGCCGCAGTGGGTTTATGGGCTTTGTGACTCGGAGCAGCTCAAATGTGCATGGACGCCTTTACTGGCATATGGATGATTTAACTTTCGCCACGTGAGTCGTCTCTTAGCTCCAGACTTTGGTGCTCACCCATAACGCATGAGAAGGGAGACGTACGGAGGTCTTACTCCTTTCGTGGGTGTGACTGTCGACGGAGATGCGCGTTTCGTGGTCCGGCCGGATGAGTGCTCAGCCTCATGAATTTGACGAGTCGAAGGTTCCGAATGGCCTTCCAGCTCGGAGGCCAAATCGTTCTTCCTGTACGTCTCTTCACATGGTGGGGTGCCTTTGGCGTCCAGTACACCCTCCAGAATCTCATGCACACGTCCAGTCTCGATGAATAAGCGTCGTGGAGAAAGAAGAGTCCATGCATGATCGTTAAACGCTGTCAGGTATCGGCAGGGACAAAAGTCTTGTTGCTTGGTAACCAGAGTTCATGGCGATTCAAGTTGCGACTCCATGCTGCGGCAGATGACGCTACGCTGCCAACAAGGCTCCCAGATGTGTCCTTTGCCAGCTCTCGCGTCGTGTTGAGGTGATCCGGGCATTCTGTGAGGTAGCTTTGCTCCCCTGAACTGACAAGACGCCCTGATCATCCGTGTGTCCAATGTCTATTTGGTTGGAGCCCTTTGGGTGGTGCTGTCTCGTAGTATTCTTCACGAGTGATTGAGTCAGAGGGACAACTGGTCGTTCAGAGTTTTCGTGTGCATTTACATCGATTCAGGGCGCGAAGGGTTTCGTATGCATCTACTGTGCAATGACAAGGCTGTGCCTTGATAAAGGTGACTGATGCAACGTTGATAATAGGGGCGGGCGAAAACGCGTTGAACCTTATTGCCAAATTTGGCCAAGGTTTTGACATTCTCGGAATTCGCGGATGAGGAGACGAGACGAGACTTTTTCTGATGTTGCCAATCTTCCTGAGTTCCTGAGGTATACTGCATGCCCCCCACACCTAATGGAGCGACATGACAGCCACTTGCTGTAGACTCTCGTGTACATGAGCCTCCAGAGGTATGTTCGCCTGGCTTGGTGTTGTTGAAGACATGGCATCGAGGGATGTGCATATTGGGGGTTTCTTGAGGATCGTCAGCCGCTGTTGATGTGGCACTCAAACTGGCAATATTGCACCCATGACTCGAGCAATCTGGTCGGAAGACTACGCTGTAAAAGCGTGAAGAAAAGAGTGGATTGTCGACTTTCAATGCTTCTTCGTTCGAAACAATGCTTCCATGGAGTTGATTTGTCCTGGGATGGTATACGGGAAGTGTCATCAGCCCTGGTGTCCCAACAAGAGACGGCGTGGTCCTCGGTGAGTGCAGTCGCGCTGTCCCGGCCGGTGAACCCACCGAAGAGACCGCTAATGAACCCAGCGGGAAGTACCGCGCCCCGCCTGCAATTGCTTGCCCTCCGCCTCCCTTTGAGCATCTGCCGAACTTTGATCCTGCCACTTCCCCGCTGCCTAACAGCGCGTGTCGGCCCCAGGTACCTGGACCCTGCGCTGCGGGCATTCGCAACGACCCGAATCGCGACTCAAGACGAGTCGCCAGGCTGACGACGCTCGCAATTGTTCATGAGCACCGTCCTCCCATCCGCGATCGCAACTACGGCATCAGGCTCTGCCACAACAAGCTGATCAAGCTGTTGCAGACTAGTCTGAAGACTGTTCGCCATGGGTTTAGGTGTGCTCGAGTCGAAGACTCTCGACCATGTTCCTGGTATGCTTGTGGCCTCAATTCCCATCTCCTCGCCGTCTGACCACGCCGGATGTCAAGGAACACGCTGTTTGATGATGGCACCGACTGACATCTGGTGGTACAGGCACGACGCGATACTACGATGACCCTTCGCAGCCTCAGCCGGCCAACGGTGCCAATCGCGGGCTCAAGGTCGACGACAGCGGTCCAGTACCCATCATCCTGGTACCTCTCCTAATCCCATGGACTTCGATCGCCCTGGCTGACGAGTGCGACAACAGATCCCCCAGCCCTCTGACGACCCGAACGATCCTCTGAATTGGCCTTTGTGGAAACGCGATCTCATCACCTTCGTCCTCTCTGTCACCGCCATCTTTGCGACCGCCCTCGGTCCCATATTGGCTGCCAACACTGTCACGCTCGCCCTTATTTTTGGCACGACATTCACTCGCATCGCTATCCTGACAGGGTACTTCCTCCTCGGCGTTGGTGCTGCTGCCGTTTTCTTCGTCCCGTCCGGTCGTATCTGGGGCAAGCGTCATCTGTTTATCTTTGGGGCCGTCGTCCTGGTAGCCTCGTCTGCCTGGGGCGGCTCCGTCGGGACCAATTACGAATCCTTCATCGGCGCCCGTGTTGTCCAGGGCATCGCATGCTCACCCTATGAGACCCTTGTCAACGTTGCCGTTGGCGACCTGTACCCCGTCCACCAGCGCGGCCTTCGCATGGCCTTCACGAACCTGGCGGTCTTCGGCGGTGCCTTCTTCACACCGATTCTGGTCGGGCAAGATCACCCACAGCATCGGCTGGGAATGGACATTCTATCTGACCGCAATCTTCTGCGCCATGTCGCTCGTGGCCGTTTATCTCATGTGTCCCGAGACCGCCTATCGCCGTGACATGTCCCTTAACACGGACATGATTGCTGAAGACGATAAGACTCATCTCGAAAAGCTGTCGCCAGGTCTGGATGCTGACCCCAGCATCACCAGCGACGGTGGCGCGGATGGAAAGCTGCCGGATTCTGCGACAGTCTCTCCTGCGCGCGCTACATCGCAAGATGCAAGTTACCGCGGCGCGGACACGCCCAAGAAAACATACATTGAATCCCTTGCACTCTTTGACGGCAGGAAAACGGACGATTCGTACCTCGACCTGCTTTTACGACCTTTCGCTCTGTTCGCCCACCCGGCCTTCATCTGGGGATGCCTCATTCAAGGCACCATGATCGGCTGGACAGTCTTCATCGGCGTCATCGTCGCCGCCGTCTTCCTCGGACCTCCTTTCTTCTGGAACGAGGTCAGCGCAGGTTACGCCTACCTCGGTCCCTTCATCGGGGCCCTGGCAGGTTTTGCTATTGCTGGTGCTCTTTCCGACTGGAGCGCCAAGTACATGACGCGTTTGAACAAGGGCGTCTACGAACCTGAGTTCCGCATCGTTCTCGTACTTCCCATGTTCATCATCGGCGGCATTGGGCTGTACGGATTCGCCCTGACGGCTGGCGAGATCCTGGGTGGCAAGTATCACTACTCCGTCCCGCTCATTTTCTTCGGCTTCGAGGTCGCCGGCATGGTCATCGGGGCTGTGGCGAGTTCCCTGTACATTGTCGACGCGTATCGCGATCTCGCTATTGAGGGCTTTACCTCCATGATTATTTTCAAGAATTTCTTCAGCTTTGCCCTCACGTGGACTGCGTACGACTGGATTATCCAAGGCGGCGTCCGCAAAACGATGCTGTCCATCGCCAGCGTCCAGGTCGTCATCTGTGCCATGAGCATACCAATGTGTAAGCCAACTTTGTTCCCAGGTGTCCTATCCAGAGGGTTTGGTACTAATAGCGAGCAGATATCTATGGCAAGCGAGTGAGAGCCTACTATCACAAACACGACATCCTCTACTCGACAAAGAAGCTCGCGGGACGCTGAGCTGGCAGACGTGGTCAGGCTGAGGCTGTGCTTGCAGTACTAGTCGAGTTAACTCTTTAGACATCTCTTATGTTGATCTTTTTCTTATTCTCTTGTAAGCAGGAGAGCTGTGGCTTCTCCTCTGCAGAGCATGCTCCGGCTAGCGGCTTGCTCTTATCATAGATGCTTGCTCGGCCCTGGTTTGGCGCGGCGCCTGGTGTGATAGATATACTCAAAGTTTAACTGGAACCTCCGACGACGTCGCCAAAGCCCTGAAAGTCGTGTTCTGCGACCGATGGCGTGAGAGTGAAGCATATTAGTCCCTGAGAAAGAAGTCCCGTCGTGACACCACAATGTTTGAAAGCTCGTCGTCCAGCTGCGCCGTGGTACATGACCACACACCTTACAATGCATGGGGCTCTGGTACTTACCCGATGTTCTCGAACAGGCCGCAGGCCTTGGCTAGAACGATTAAAAGGGACAACAGGCCGTTGTGTACACGTCTACCACAACCATAGCCTTGAATGTGGGAGAGTCCCAATTGCCACGCCTTGTCACGTGTCAGCTGCACACCAAACTGTTGGTGATCAACATAATGTTTCTCCCCACAAGCCCCCCTTGGCGTGGCGAATTCTCATCGACGATCTGGACGCCCATAAACCCGGGACTGATCGATGTCTTCTCCCTTGAATGATAGTCCCATGGGTGATATAGAAATCGAGATGCCGGAACGGGCCGCCACTCCCCATTCTCCCTCCCTCGGGGACGACGAGCGGCACAGCGCCTGATCATGATGGGCGCGGTCTAGGCAATCCTTGTTTTCGCGGGCCAGACTCATCCACGGCGGTCAGCTGGATGATTTCCTCCGTCAGCTCGCAGCACTACTGTAGGATGAACCCTCTTGACCCTCCAAGACTAAGTGAGCTAATGCGAGGCATGGACGACGCCCTCGTCCTCGAACCACTACGATACCCGGGGCGCGAGGCCCCCAGCAGATTTCGCCATCTGTCCACCGCTAGATGCACCCAGGACCTGGTAGAATCTGAAATGAGGCCAAACGGCCATTGTGACCTTTCGATTGCCCAAGTCGGCCAGTGGCAATGCGCATATCGTCCCGAGGTCTGGGCCAGAGGACACGGAGGCAGGCCAGGCAGCCGAAGCAAGAAGTCAGATGGGTGTGTGACCGCCTGGTCCAGGAGTCTGCTCAAGCCCGCATCCCCATCGCCATGGGGTTGCTTCTGGACCCGAGGCCCCGGACTCGAAACCTGGAGGCTTGCTATGCAGAGGTGTGGGGGATGATTAGCCGGCATCCCGACGCCGATGCGCCGGATCCCACAGTCGATTTTGCGTTACATGGTGCGAGGTCTGTGGCCATGTGGCTGGCTTGCCAGTGCTGGTTTGTCTTTTGGATGTAGAGCAGCCGGGTTGGCATAGGCCCGCCGTCGTTTGGTACGAAGTTTCCAACATTCACGGTAGCGGGAGGAGCGGGCGGTGCGCCAGGATGTTGAACATTTTGACGCTATGTTCAGATAGATGATGTCTGAGTGCCATAGATACGATTCAGTGAGCTACTCGAATGCATAGCTCTGTTCTCGCATTGAGCGAGGTGTGAGGTTCGCATTCGTACCTAGGGACCTACCTTAACGTGCCATGCTCTTGAAAGGGTGAGCCGGATTGTCTCCCCGTTGCTCCTGCCGTCACCGCACCCGCGTCGCCGGCTGCCACTTCAGGTAGAGCAGGCACCTCTTGAGCAACAAGGAAGGCGTCACTGGAGTAGTGGTTAACTCGTTGCCCTCCCACAGTAGAGAGGCAGAAAGTGCGTCTTGCGCCCCGAAATGTTGAATGATTCACTGCTGACCAAAATTAATAGCACTGGTTCGAACCCGGTGTGACGCACACACCCCTTTTTGGCGGTTCCCACACCAAAATGGTCTCCTGGCGTGAGGAAGTCTGGCGACGCTGCTGACCGGTCAGGTAGAATGGATCTCAATGAGAAGGATTTCGCTTGGTAGCGACGGCAACAAAAGTCAGAAGGCTGTGGAAAATGACAGAAGCACGGAAGGCGACCGAGTGATGACCGACGAGCGCCCCCCCTGACCCCAGACAAAGAGAGCCGGTGTCCTGACATCCATGTGATATCGTGTCATTCAAGGGTCCGGAACAGATTGCCTGGCGCCGTAAAATGAGACGACCTCCGAGCGCGATCCGACATTGGCGGTTGGGCGACGCAACACCCTCGCCCGTGTTGGTGCCCAACGACCAGAAGCCCCTGGGCGTAACAGCGCCGGCCAGGCTTCCTCAACTCACCGACTTCAGCAGCACCGGACAACAAACTCGTCGATTTCACCTTGTTTCTTTGTTTACACCGCCAGGCCAGAGGCGGCAAGAGCTCTTCACGGCCGAGTCTCGGGCACGAATGAGCTGTGCTGGCCCATGTCTTTGGACGTCGCTAGCGGCGGAGGCGTAGGAGGCGTCGCCGATGCTCCGATCCTAGTGAAGCGAGTGTCTAGTGGTTTCGACGCAAAAAAGCTGTTGCTAGTCGGACGCGGCCTCCGGGACGTTCTGATTGGCGTCGAACCAGCGCGCGACGCCGAGATTTGTTGTTTGTGTGATACGACAGGAACGACTAGTGAAGGAAGTAAAAGTGGTCCCGATGACTGCCGCATACTTGAAGCCATCAACAACAGCAGGGAGAAAGATGTTTTGGCACACATCAATTTATTCCTAGCTGGCCTCGAACAGGCGCTTGCCTAGTCATGGGCGCTTCCTTCACGGCATCCTTGGGGAATTCAGCACAACACGCCCATTTTTGAGTGGACAGCACCTTGCGGCTCGTTGCCGTCCAAGGCCGCCGCATCTCGCCTGGTGGGTTACCGAGCCTTCAAAGCGTGGCCAGGTCAAGATCAGTTGGCGCAAGCACGGTGTATGTACATGACAAGGCTGGGATTGTCAGCTCATGTGTCTTAGTATCTCGGTGTTTCCTTCGGGGAAAGGGGGGCGGGCCATGGGAGTGTTTGCTCCAGCAGGAAGCGCGTGCGTCCCTCTTCCTGAGCAATGCGCACGAGGCTAGCGACCTCTGCTAGACCTCCAGGGACACGAGGCTGGCAGGTGCATGCATACCTGGCCATGTCTACAAAGCAAGCGATGTCACTTGTGTTTCAGAATGCCGGCCAGGCCATAACAAGCAAAACGAGAGAAAAGAGCAAGGCGGGCTGCCTTGTACTTACGCAAATGGATTACGAGCGGGCCTCGGGGTCTTTCGGTGGGGTGATGGTGCCGAGGCCCTTGGACGGAAGCCCTTGGACGGAAGCCCTTGAACAACGGAAAGCCTCGGGAGCATGCCGGTGCTTTGGCGAGATAACTGGCAGCAGATCGATCGATACTGATCCGTAGTTTGGGGTGAGATCGGGCGCGAGTAGTGCGCATCTTAAACGGCGGCCGAATCAGGACCCTGAGCCTATCAGGACTACTAATCAAGTGGTCCATTCACTCCATAACAACCTCTGAGCTGATCCAAAATAGGTGGGTCAAGCTGCGAGGCATAGCGCTTGGCTTGGGCTGCCCGGACAGACGACACCAGGTACTTTACATACTGCCTGGTAGGTAAGGTAGGTAGTCGCAGAAGGACGCCCCTCTTAGCACCTTTGACCGACGCTTTCCCTGTGTGGTCAAGGAGGTCGAGGAGGGGGACTTGCGCCGAAGGATAGGGTTGCGCTCCTGCTCCCCGGTGTTCCGCGTTCCCAACCGAGACCATCGACACTGCTTGTTCAGTAAACAGAGGAGCAGGGAAACGAAAAAAAATGTACCCCAGGAAGGCAGACGAAACGGAGGCCACACGTTTGACCCCCCGGGACTCGGACTTGGAAGAAATTGCCTCACCCTGTCCTTTGCGAGTCCCCGTGAGTCGACGGCGTCCCTTTGTCGCTCTCGTCCCCGCTGAACGACCACACGTCGTCAGCCGCCAGTCATCGTGTCTGGCCCGCGCTACCAGTTTGAGATGAGGTGACCCACCACAATGCTCCCGTATCAATTGCCCCTCGCACTGTTCCAGGTCCACGAAAGGCCCAACAGTCGCCATGCTATGCTGCACTTGGATGGTTTTCGTTTGTGGGACAGACGATCAATCGAAAGAGATTGCATGCGCTAACAAACAGCCGGCTTTGCCGTGTTGTGTAAATGGCTTGTTGGACGAGATCGTCAATGACCACATGATTGAAGAGACCGGGCACTTCCAGCGGCAAGAAAATCAAACTGGTGATGTTGATAGGCGGCTGATGTTGGTTCGTGGGCTGACACTGTAGCAGGAGATCATCCTCAGGCTTCCTACACGACGCGGCATGCAAACTTGTCTTTATTAGGTGGACGACGGTCCCAGTGCCCCTCCTGCCCCCTCTTCTTTTAGCAAGCCTGTTCCCTGTTTCTCCCTTGGACGCTGCTCACTCTGGAGGTGCAGGTGGACCGCCCTGGCGCACCCCTATGACGTCGCTAGTCTGAGGGGAAGTAA